TCCCCCCCCCCCCCCCCCCCACGTTGATCCTCCTGACCTGGGCGGCAAATACTGGCAAACTCTGTTTAGCTAACAGGGCAGTTGGGAGGCTTTTTTGGAGAACAAAAGAACATTTTGTAAATGATGATAAAGGATATTTTTGAAGAGACAATGTCAGGCCTATTTATTTTTGGCTCCTTTGTTCCTAACATGCAGATTGGAGCTGGCTGAAAAATGTTGCTCTCCTGATAAAAAAAACAAAACAAAACTTAAAAAAAAAAAAATCTTGGAAACAGGTTCCAAGGGAACATGTATTTGCATGAAAAAATACTCAATTTGCATAAAATAGATGAACTACTTTGAATTTACATGGTTGCCAAAATCGGAGCCCTTTTCGTGGTTTTGAAGAAAAATCTGGAATCAGAGACAAATCGGGCTGGAAGGGGCCTCAGGGGATCATCTATTCCAACCTCATTCACAAAACAGAATCATCCCTATCACTGTGAACCACCCTATTCAAGGTGTCTCACCTGTTCCTAAAACTACATAAATAATCCTGTTGCACAACTACCAGGCACCTTGCCCTGCTTTCTGCCTGCCTTCAGATTAACACGGTTAACTATCTCTCAAGAACACCCTAACCTTCCCCACATAACACAGGGGGACAAGAGCACTGTCAGTGTCCTGCTGTTGGAAAGCCAGGAAGTGATGGTTAAAATACACTTAAGAGATGATAGGAAGAGGACCATATCCCCCGTTACAGAGGAAGCTAAACTATCCATAGTCCATACCAATTTGACCACAGGGTAAACTTCCTTCCTGATGCCAAATGTGAACAGCCTCACCTTGAACAAAGGGGCAAAAACCTGTAACCAAGAATTTCTGGGGGATTTTCCTTCCAGCAGAAGCATTGACACAATCCAGCCTTGGCTGTAGCCAACACCCAATGCTTCTGAGGAAAGCAAAAAGAAACCCAGATACCTGTAGCAACAGGAGGGGAAAATATTCCTTCATGGCCCCATGAGGGTAAAGCCCAGAAGCATGGGGAAAATTAAATACCCTTCACTCTGCTCTGCAGCCTGGGGACCACAGAAATAACTCCACACATCACACCCCCTGACTGGAGAGCCAACACTCCCCTTTTGATCATCCTAGCCCCTCCATAAACTTATACCAGTTCCTTTAATCTCATTGCATAACTAAGCTGGTTGTGGAGCTCTGCTTCATTCTTCTGCTGTTGAAAAAGTTCTCCAATTTCCACCTGCTCTCCAGAAGAAAAAAAAAGTCATTTGTGGGGGAAAAAATGCTTTGTGGGCAGAGGGAAATCATTGTCTGAACAGTTTGGATACAAATGCTTTGTTCTTAGTCCATGTGTCCCATCAGAGGACCTCAGAGAACTTATCAGTCAATAATTAAGATTCACAGTCACCAATTAGGTGGTTAAGTGTTTTTATACTGGGAGCCAGGCAATCAGACCACCCCTTGAAGGCTAAATAAGGGAAGAATTGTTCAGTAGTGTTGGAGCGATAGCTCAAATACTGAAAAACTACCATTCAAAGACTTGACCACAACCGCAGGCAATGTCTGGCCATGCCAATATTTACCACCCAGGTGAGGTTTTCCAGACCAGGGGTCTGATAAACACAGAGACAGGGGGTTGATATGATTGCATCTCTGCGTAAAAGAGAAGCCAGAGACCCACCAGAGAATCAAACAAAGAATATGTTTCCAGGAACACACTTGCAGCATAACTTCGAGAACCTGAGAGGGTGTGAGTTTAGGGATGAAGTACTGCTTGGAAAAAAACTTACAATTTATGGGCAAAGAAATGGTCTTCTCCTGTTTGATTTCTCCCATATTTCATAAAACAGAACTTTGTGTACTTTCTTTTTAAATAAGCAGGATTGCACTGGACACCTGATTCCAGCATCAGTTTCTTTTTAACCCACAAGACCCTGGGTTTTAGTTAATTGCTGGCAGAAATCAAGGATCCATATAATAGAAGTGCTGGCAGAAATCAAGGCTAGCACAAGGCAAGTAAAACAACCCTTGCCTTCAGGTCAAAAAGGTAACAGTGTCATTACTCTTGTTGTACAGATACAGGGCCGGCCCACAATGTTTTGGGGCCCCCTGACAAAAAGGAGCTGACGGTGGGGGTGGGGAGGGGAGTGGCTAGTGGCCAGATGTGAAACGGGTGGCAGCGGCAATGCAGAGTGGTGGTAACTGCCCGCCCCACCCCTTGCTACAGCACTGATTTGCAGTGTTCATAGTCACAGGGGGCCCTTGGCTGTGGGGCCCCCTGTGGCTGCAGGTACTGCAGCATAGGGCGGGCCGGCCCTGTACAGGTATGCAGGCATAAATCTGTCTCCAAAGTCAATGACAGCTGGAGACAGAACTCAAAACTACAGTCTCCTCTCTCCAAGCCTAAGGACATACGTTACATATAAACCGGTTTAAGTGATCAGAAACTGGTTGAAACCTGTAACAGAACAGACATTCAGTGTACATAAACCAGTTTCAAAGTGGCCAAAACTGGGTTGAGATAAATCTGGTTGAATGTAGTATCAAACTTAACTGATTGAGCTCAAACTGGTTTGTGCAATGTTTGTCCCAGATCCCTTCCTGGTTTAACTTAAACCAGGGTCCCCCAGCATCCCAGCATGCTTGCTGGGCTGGGCTCTCTGCTCCAGCTGGGCAGGGCTGGCCCCTGCCCCTCTGCTCCTCAGCCAAGCAGGGACAGGCAGAGGCAGGGGTCTGGCCAGAGAGGGGGATAATTCCCCCCTCCCTGTCCCACTGGCAGAGACCTGAGCCGGGTCTACTGGGCACTCCCCTCCTCACTGCTGCAGCGGCAGGCTGGCATGGCTCCTGAGGCAGAGGGGGCTGGGAGGGGGGTTATTCCCCCTTTTGCCCCCTCTGCCCCTGGGGAACCACAGCAGGGTCTTCCTGCCTCTGCCACCGCTTGCTCTGTGCTGGGGCAAGCAGCAGAATAAGCCCCCTCCTGTTCCCCTCCTTCTGGCATCCAGTGGAAGAGGCTTATGTGGTGGCAGGCAGGAGGGCAGACCCTGCTGCAATGCCTGGGGTCAGAGGGGAAATAACCCCACTCCCTGCCCCCTGCCTAAGGGGCCCTGCCAGCAGTGTCTGGCCCCACCCCCACCTGGCCACTGGAGCAGTGAGGGGGGAATGACCATGTCTGAGACAGCAGCCCCTATCATGGTTTCCCTAAGTGTGAGCCTCTTCCCAGCAGATGGGGGGCTGCACTGCAGGGCAAGGAAAGCTGGAGTAGACCACTTGGCAGCGGCAGCCGACACTGTTGGTGGCACCTGCGGGTGGTCGCCACTCATCACGGTGCCACCGACACCACCGGTGGCATCTGCAGGTGGTCCACAATCACTGCTGGCCACCGCCAACACTGCTGGCAGCCCCTGCGGATGGTCGTCCCCCCAGATGGTGCTCACCACCCGCCCCCACCCCCGCCGCCAACAGTGCCTCCAGAGTCTGGCAGAAAGGGCTTATTCTGCCACTTGTCCCAAATAGGTAGCGAGAGGCGGCAGTCAGGGCAGCCAGACCCAGCTGCAATCCTCCTGGGACAGCGGAGGTAGAGGAGGGAATAACCCCCTCCCAGCCCCCTC